TTAAGGCCCATATAGATGGAGGGTCAGCCCGCCCTAGCCCATCAAATTTAAAAGCCCACGAGGCTTGGGCTGGGCTGGGCTAGCCTGTTTTGACAGCTCTAGTGCCCATTATAGTTTCACACTTGTGCTAATATATTAGCGTGATTTTTGGGGCTAGTCTGTGAAATATTGTGTCAAAGATGACTAAATATATAAGAAGATAAAATTTTGTAAGGTATTGTAATTAATACTTCTCTTCTCCACATCTTACAATGTTTAAGGACAAAATTGCAGCTTTTTCACTCTGCCTTGGCTGGAAAAAAAATTCCCTCTGAACTATTAAAAAAAATTACTGATTCTTACTGATAATTTTAGTGCATGCTGTGGAAGGGCAGTGGCAATGTAGTGCACTATATTGGTGTTATAAAGCTTGTAGTTGTTTGGCTCACCGTGACAATTGTCAACACGTTTGGCAATATTTTAGCAACTTAAGCCCAAGAAAATTACCTTATATAGTCATATTCCTTGAAAAGAGGAGAGATAATAGGAAAATATGAAGATTTTTATTTTGATTTCATGCAAATTGGTTACTGAACTAATGGAAATTGGTTAGAAAAGTCACCTTACTTTGTTTATTACCTAAAAGGCCACTTAATTTTGCACTTTGTAATCGAAAAGTCATTTTATGCGTTTAAACGATATTTGGCATTTTTCTTTTCAACCCAATCATTTAGAACAATTTTTCAGTTACAAAGGACTAAATAGAATGACATTTTAGTTACAAAACAAAGTAAAGTAACATTCCTAACCAATTTTCATTAATTCAGCAACTCCTCCAAAATGTATTCCTTACAAAAAAAAAAAAAACAAGGCAAAGCAGAAAGCAGATTTCAAATTTCTTTTCCTTGTCTCTTCTTCTTTTTCTGTTGGATTGAAGTTGTGTGTGAGTGACGTCATATATGTATATCATATTGTATACCGATGTGTCAATTTCCCTATAACTTTTGCTTCTCCTTTTGTTTCATGGGGTCTGGCGGTTTGCAATGCCCAAATATAGGGTCCAATAACGTATTCGGCCTCCACCCTTTATTCAAGCTCTATTAATAGTAACTTCTGTCATATGCTCTCAAACTAAAATCCGTTGTCAAACTAGATTTTTGAACCAAACCAAAGATCTACTAAAATAGCTATTTTCGTGTCACTATACAAGTTTTGACTCGTTTAAATAAGTTCGGGCGAAAATAACTTTTGGGTCAATAGTTAGAGTTCATTTCCCGTCAGATTGCCAGAAGATTTGCCTTACCACAACTCAGGGTGGATCACCAGGAGTTAAGTACAATACATCATGGCGGATTATAAGGAGTTTCTGATAGATTTGCTTATTGCGAGTTCACACGAATCATCAAAAGTTTAATATATATGTTTCCTTATCCAGAGAAGTCAACACCCTTTGATTCACTTTATCACCAACCGTTGATGCACTTTGTTATCAACACCCAATTTTGTTAAAGCACATATCTCCAATGCACGTTGATGCACTTTGTCACCAACTGTTGATGCACTTTGTCACCAATACCCAATTTTGTTGAAGCACCTGTCTCCAACTCACGTTGATGCACTTTGTCACCAACTGTTGATGCACTTTGTCACCAATACCCAATTTTGTTGAAGCACCTGTCTCCAACTCACGTTGATGCACTTTGTCACCAACTGTTGATGCACTTTGTCACCAATACCCAATTTTGTTGAAGCACCTGTCTCCAACTCACGTTGATGCACTTTGTCACCAACCGTTGATGCACTTTGTCACCAACACTCAATTTTATTGAAGCACCTGTCTTCAACTCCCAACTTTTTCAAACCTCTCTCCAACATTTAGAGAAGAGTTTCTTCCTCTTGCTATATTTGTTTGCCCCTCTTTAAATTTACTTTTTTTTCTTGAATCTGTTTTAAAACTTTTCATTGAATAGTCTAATTCTGTTAACAACTATCTATAATTTTACCAATATATTTTTTGGCTAGACGGGCGGCACACATTGTTTAGCGCTGCCCGCCGGCAGCGAAAGCTACTTGATTCTGTCAAAATCGTAGAACCTCTAATACCAATATGAAGGAGAATAGTTTATTATAACTCACTGAAAGCTCTCTACAATTCTCACAAATCTCCACACGTAAATAAGCTATCAATACCCCTATTTATAAAAGTATGAAACATATTTCAACTAAAAACAGAAAAGTCTATTTCTATATTTATTCTAACTGTAAATCATATTTAGGCATGAATAAAATAAACTAAATCCTAAATAACTAAGGTTTCCTATTACAATTTTTGAATTAGTTTTCCCAACATGTTGTATTTTTAGAACAAATTATTTATAAATTCTGGCGGATATCCAGGAGTTTCTAATGGATTTGTCAACACATTTTTGTTCAAAATTGATCCAAATTTGTCGAAATCAACTCCAAAATTTGACATCGACTTCTAATACCAAACCCAATAATTTCTATTGTATGGTTTAGTTCGACAAATTAACCTTCAAAAATCAATAGACTCATTTGTTTTTGTTTTTTTTAATCAACAATCCACAAAGTCCAACGGGTCTTCATTTTTACACAACATAACACATATAAAGAAGACGAAAAAGGAGGAGGAGGAGGAGGTTAAGTTCTGATGGATTTTTATTTTTTTGGGAACTTCTCTTAACAAGACAAAAATTAAATATCGATCCTTAAAAATAACATCGGGTGAAAATTCTTGCAAAAACAATGTGGAAAGAGGAAGCTGGATTTTCGTGTGTGTTTGTTACGACGCAAAATATCAATCTTTATTAGAAAGTCTTATCAAAACACTATTAGAATTGATAATATTTTTTTCCTAGAAAAATATTTCGACTTTCCAAGCAACCATAAGAAGTCATTTTCAGAAAACGTATTTTTCTTTTCCATAAAGTAAGAAATTTTCGAAAAATATCTTCCGCCTCAGCAAAAAAATTTCCTAATATCTGAAACGACATTATCAATGGAAATATGCACATTTAAAATATGCATACGAAGGATTGAAATACCCAAGAACGATTTAGGCACGAGCAAAAAATTTCAGCAAAAGCTATATATATAAGAAATTTATTAAACTATGGAGAGAACTTGGAGGCTTTTTCACAACTCATAAACTCTTGAATCTCTCTACAGCGTAGCTACCTCTCCATAATATAAAATATATAGTAGCACTCCTATTTATAATACTACAAAACAAAAACCTATTCCAATATAAAACTGGTAAACAAATCCTAATAAGACATGAATTAAACAAACTACCAAATATCAAATCCTAGATAACTTAGGAATACTAATTAATCTTGGTTTAATTTCCAACAACATATACTTATTATCGTCCACGATCAATGTTTTCTTATCAAGTCTGTCCAGCTTCGTGAATATGTTGAATACGAAGATACAAAATGTAGTTTTTATAGTTCAATAATCAATTTTGAGTATTTTTTAAAGTGATTTAATTCTACAATTGCTTGAAGCTAGATCCTAATTATCATCTGCTTCAATGTTTCTGGATTGTTCTCTTTGAGACAAAATGTTGACTCGAAGAATGGACCATAGACGTGCAATTTTTCCGTCCATAAAATCCCATGCCAAAAGTTCCTAGTTTTTCAACTCATACGCGATATGCCATAAATTTACAAAAAAAATCAAGGGGTTTCAGTTGACATTATTTAATGCAAGAAACTGAATTTTGAAAAATTTGTCTAAGTTTCAGGATTGATCACTAAAGTTAGCAGCAACATACCTGAAATGTTGGCCCCAAAATTTATGACAAATGACAGGTTTTCTTATTTATTGTTGATGAATTTGATACTCCAACTTCTTCTTCTCCTACTACTGCTACTCAACCTTCCCACCCAACTGCATTTTGCATTTACTACCCAAATTAAAAGATTGGTTAGCAGTTAGCCATAAGGGATGATTACATAACCCAGAATAGCTCTGAACCTGCTGCTATATTTTTCTCTGACTCAGCTTGGCCATTCCTATTTCATGCAGAGTTACGTTGGTGGTTATAGAAGCTCAGGAAGTCATAAATACATACGTAGCGGTTCAGGGTTCAATTCTAACGGAGACAAAAAAAATGCTAAATGATTTATTCTCTTCTACCTAAGTTTTGGTGGACAGAGTTATCAAAAATATGTTGGTGACAAATAGCAGATACTGAACAAAATAGTCAAACGCGCGCAACGACTCAGAAAAATATCGTCCTGATGTTATCTTTAAAAAAAGAAGTATATAAGTAGAAATTTCAAATATCAGGAATATAAAGTTTGATCCACGTAAGAATGACAAAGAAAAATCATAAAGACAAAAACACCAGAACAAAAAAGCAGATAAGAAATTGATTGCATGCCGCGTCGTTAAGACTAAGGAGAATTAATTGACTTGACTTACTTTAGGTGCTGACTTTAATTTGCACAAGTCATTTAGAATGAATATGCCTATTGAAAAGAACAAAAAGATTTAGAAAAACAGGTACAGACGTATAATTTTGAAGTTTGAACATAATTCAAGTCCCATGAAACACGGGAGGTACTAATAGACAGACCATACAATTATTATAGTCAAAAGTTGCAAAGCCAAGCATTAGAAAAAGACTTACAAATTCTTCTTCTTCCTTTTTATAATCAAAAAGACTTTAAACCTTGTTAATGAGTTTATGGGAAATGCAATAACATGCAAAAGTGTGAGTTCCAACCAAGAGGTCGTGAGTTCGAGTCACCCCAAGAGCAAAGTGGGGAGTTATTGGAAGGAAGGATGTCAAGGGTCTATTGGAAACAGTCTCTCTACCTCAGGGTAGGGGTAAGGTCTGCGTACACACTACCCTCCTCAGACCGCACTAGTTGGATTATACTGAATTGTTGTTGTTGCAATAACATGCAAAAGATGTGGTATTGATTTGCTGCTGCAAGTTGAACAAAGAATGGTGACCTGAGTACAGAAATTGAAAATTTTGGAGAACATTCTTTAATTTCTTAGAGATGTCATTTATTAGAGAAATTACAATTTATATGACAGCTTATAAACGGATAAAGAGTTCATCTAAATACCTTTACAATCCCATCACCACTACATTTTACAACTAAGACATCACTGGTTCCAGGGCTTAGCTGCTATTTTACAAAATGGTGACAAGGAAAGAACAAAAATTGGATGTTTGATTGTCACTTTGAATAGCTCTATCCGATTTTATCTTCTTATTTTTTTTCCCTACTTACGCACTGGATCTCCATATTCTCCCCTCCAACGAAATAACAATAATTGAAACATCATCATGGTACCGGCGTCTATCCCCTTGTGGAATTTCAAGCAACTCGTGAAACTCCAAACCTGAAATGAAACACAATCACACGGTTCAGACTAGTTCTCCGATAAATTTACATCTTTTTCCCTTAGGACCAATTCAAGCATTTTGCATCTGTAAAAGTAATTACCAGCTCTTTTGGCCGCACGAAACAATACTTTCTCAATAAGATGTTGTGCAGGATCTCCATCAGGTGACCATGAGATGAAATGTTCAACTTCTAAAACAGCTTCTTCATTTGTGAAGTACTGATAAAGCCCATCAGATGACAGTATCAAAAACCTGTCTCTCGGCCCTAATCTGTGATGATGGAGAGATGGTAGACAACTGATGTAGGGAGAAGTTCCAATATAATCAATTCTGAACATCTCCAGAAGCGCATTGTTCCATTTAGGCTGCAGGGAGTGAGCAGTTTAAAGTTAGTTATCTAGTCGAGCATAAGTAAAGAATCAAAAGCAGAGGATATGTTTTAATCTTTCCTCAATAAGAAGCGATTCAGCAATTTGACTATCTCCAACATGATAATTGCGTTTGACAAACTATAAAGTTGTTGGAGCTAAAACATTTATTCTGTTATGGTTTATAAGTTCTTAACCAGTATTAATCTGATTAAGGGGAGCATCGCATTCTGATAGCAAACCACCAATAGATCCTTAACAGAAAAGAGCATTGTATATTAGATGCCAAATGAAAATTTAGTATGTCCTGTAGCCAGCAAATGGCACTTCAGAAGTCAAAGAAGAAACATTCAAATTTTAGTTCTGTTTTTCTATCATTAGACAAAAATAAATGTACCAGTACTTGGAAGTAAACTATTCATGCTTTTAAGGTGTATACTATAGCAAAAGAAGTTGTTAAATGCAAAATGTTTGATCACAAGAACAACACAACGTATGCTAACAAGTAGCATGTTGCCGAATATGCCTTCAAATTAGAGAGAAAAGTAGCTTTTGCCATGTGTTGAAAAGGTTTATGAAAAAGCATAAACTTTGTTCTCAACAAGAAATATCAATTCATATGGAGTGAATAAAGCTAGCATTCTTTCACAAGCACAAAGGGAATCAAAAACACATCTTTTTTTTCCTACTATATTCTCAAGGGTTGACTTGTAAACAAGCTAAAAAAGCAAATATTCCATAGTACCTGTTTCAGGAAACCAGCACCAAAAGCCCGGGTAACCTTCAAAGAACCTTTCACGCGGTCATTCATCAAAGCATATGCATCATCTGGATGTTCACTTCTTATTCTTTGAACTTCCTGAAACACAACACAAAAAACCAAGTTGACCAATCAATCGAAAAAAAGGATTTTTTTGTTTTATCAAGGATAGATCACAAAGAACTTTAAAAAGACATCTAAAATCTAAAATTAGATAAGCACACCTCTTCCACAGATGTACTATGATCTGTACTAAGCTGACTAGCAGTTAAATTAGGTATACTGTTCGACTCATCACCATCTAAAAGCTCAAGATCATTCAAAGTCTCTTCATTGATCCGCTCCAAATCTTGGCTCCAGAGATTAGGCTCCTTCTTCTGAGCTAACACAGCTCGACTATCGCCTACATTCATCACATAAACATCCTCCCCCTTCATTAACATAACAAGAACACAAGAACCCATCAAAGCTAACTCAGGATTTTCCATAACCATCCTATCAGCTAGATCCAAATATGCCTCTTCTGTTTTCTTCAGTGCTTGAGAAAGAGCTTTCAAAACATCTTCATGATTAACTGATCCTGATCCATTAGAACCATTTCCATTCAGCTGCTCCTTCAATCTCCTATCAAGTTCTAATCTTTCCCTATCCCATTCACACCGCCACCTCCTCTGATTTTCTTCCCATTTCTTTGCTAATCCTCTGTACTTACTCTTTGAAACCTTCCCCCTCTTTTTCTTTAACCGCGAATCGAAATAAAGATCCTCTCTTGCTGAAGGATAATTCTCTTGTTCAACGCATCTTGAACAACCATCTTTAGTCCTATCCCTTGTAAAATCATCATCACAAATCTGATTTGATTCCTCTTTCACTTCCATACTCGAAGCTGGGATTGTACTATTATCAGTATTAGATGAATCTGACTTGTCATCCCACAACAATCCCTTGAGTTCTTTGTGAACAGCTGGGTACAAATTAGTTACTAAAAAATCAGGTGCGTCAGGACCATTAAATCCATCATAAATCCCAACAAAAACCCAACCATGTTCCTCAGAAACTACAACATGAACACGATCTTCACCAGCTTTCCCTTGAGCCCACTGAAGATTCTGATTTTCTAACGAGTCATCATCATCCAAGCTGCACTCACTGCTGAAGTTCACACTGCTGATTGTCAATTCGTTCTGCTTCTCAGAACCCACTATCCAATCACTTTCTTTCACTGAAATTGACCCTTTAATCGGTGCAACAACTGAATTTTGACCTCTTGATAAGGTCTTTGAAATAGCTCTTTGGAGGACCCGGATAAAAGACCCTTTTCTTGCTCTGGATCGAAGAGCAAAACCATGTGAATAACTTCTTTGGAACTGATCAGGACAATAGCTTCTTTCAAGAGGGCCCGAATAAAGACCACGATCGAGGGGGCCCGATTGAAATCCCCTCTCAATCGGGCCGGACATGAAGCCACGTTCAACCGGGCCGGGACCTGAAATAAGCCCCGAAGTCGAAAGCGGGCCGGAGTGGATAGAGGAGTTTCTCGGAATTGGCTGAAGAGGTATTGAAGCAAAGGAGGTGGACCCCTCAAAGGCCGAAGACCTATCGATGCTGTTGTAAGAATACAGATCGACGAACGCCGTGGACAGCGGCGTGGAGGTGTTGGCACTGACGGAGGCGCCGGAGATTGACCGGAAAGTGGTGGTCTCCTCGGAGTGAACCTTGGAGGACGAAATTCGGGTCGGGTCGGGCCTGACGTAGCAGAAGGAGTGACCCAGGTCTTCAAGTGGGTCGGAAATCATTAAGGGGAAATCCTTCCGGCGACGGGACTCGACGGCGCAGCCGCCGCCGCCGCTGGTGAAGCAGACGCTGAGCTTTCCTACACCGTTACCCATTTAAAGAAAAAAGCCTCTAAAACTAATAGAACCAAAGAGAAATTTCAGATTTTGTGGTTTTGTTAAACCTTTCAAAAAGCCCTCAAAGATTCATTTGTGTTAAGTGTGAAGAGAGAAAAATGGGAGAAATGAGCAAAAAAAGAAGAGGTGAAGGAGAGAGAGAGAGAGAGGCGTTGACTTTTGGTTGGGAGGAGGTGTATGTTTGAAATATAAGTATGAAAGCATAGTAGTAACTCTTGGCGTTGGTCATTTGTTTGGTTATTCTAACAATTTAATGTGTGGTTTTTCCGATTTTCGTTTTAATTTTAGGCCTTTAGTGTGTGGGAGGCGTTGACGTGAAGCTCTGGACCCTGACCTTTAACCCCAAAACGTCACCCTATCCTGACCCCTGACTATTACAGCCAAATTACAACACTCTATGTAACAAGTTTCTTCGTTCTTGACGCAATTTGATTCCAAACAAATTTAGAAAAAGAATTTTTTGTAAAACTTTTTAATACTAAACATGCTACTATAATACTTGATCTGGTTATAAGTCTTTTAAACATATGGCCAGAAATATGTTATATTATAATATTTTTATAGCTTTAAAAAATTATTAACGATAAGAATGACAGAGAAAATATTTTATCTAACACCACATGTATGTTATTTCGTTGTAATATAGTCAAATATAAATTCTCTTAGTAAAAATATTTTAATCTTAACCAAGGGTTAGTATGAAATGTTCTTATGTTAATACATTGCGTATTCCCAATGTTAAGCCTATCCCAGGAATTTTAACCCATTCACAATCCAAATAAAAGTTACAATTTTACGATATGCTTTGAATAACTTCTAAAGCATTTTCAAAATCTAAAACCTGGCCAAATCCAGAGTCTTGGGAATATGTCTTTTCCTTTGAGTAATTCTAACACAATTTTGTACAATTCCTCCCCGTTCGTTCGCATATGTAAATTTTTTTATAAAAAAAATATATACACTATCCGTTCACTTTTACTTAATACGTTTGGGCTTTTTACGGCCCTTAAGAAATAATAAATTAAGTTCATAATTTATCATGATATACATATTAATTGATGCATATTTTATTGAATTTGAGAAAATAATTTGAAATGAGTAATAAATATTATGGGTATAATAGAAAAAAAATTATCTTCTCTTAATATACGTAAATTAACAAATAAAAATAAAAATCTAATTTTAATATACATATCAAGTAAAAATGAACGAAGGGGTATATACTAAAGAAAAAATTAGACAATAATAGTAAGGGGAGGGGTTGGTATTGTTCACGTCCTACTAGAGCGAGTGCGGGATCAGTTCAATGCTATTGTGTTAACAATCGAAAAAGTCAAAAGATCGCAGCCCAGTTAATACTTCTAGGAAAATGTGCCACGATCACCGTTGGATCCTGAGTATTAGTGTTTGGTGAAAACAAAAAACCATCTGGTTATGACACGTGGCAACCCGCATTTGCCACTTACTGAAGTCTCCTTTATTTTTATTTTTATTTTCTCGTCTCACTGAGTAGACACAATAATCTTCTAGCGTGTACAACGTTTACTGTTTCGATTTTTTGACTTTTATGTTTTTCTTTACCAAATCAATGAGAAGTTTTTTTCAATTTTCTGTGACAGGATATAGATATACGATCAATTTAATTTAATAATGTATACAGTCGAAATCGGTTTTGTCTACTGCGTGATGATCGAGATTGAAACGTGATGGATTGAAAAGCAACCCTGATTTCATCAAGCTAGGATACGAGGTCAGAATTCCGTCCTCGAGAACATCGAGTTCGTGATCCCGGAATTGACCCTGACCCCGAATGAGCTCGAGGAAATAGTGCTAAACCGAATAACGGAAGGCCGAAATATATTTAATCGGTCGGGTATCACGCGGGAATCTCGGTGCACGTATCAATATGTAACCTCGGGTTTTGACCATGTGAGCCCGGGGAAGATTTTTGACTTTTTGGGTAAAACTTTGGAAAACTTGTTTTCATGCATTGGCATTGATTCATTTAGCGTTTATTGATGTAATTAAGTAACTTGTGGCTAGATACGAGCGGATTGATGGTGGAATCAAGAGGTAAAGCGATAGTTGAGGCTTGAATTGTGTTCGTGACATCGAGGTAAGTGTTTGGTCTAACCTTAGCTTGAGGGATTAGGAGTTGTGTCTTATTTGCTACATGTTACTTGTTGAGTACGACGTATAGGCATGGTGACGAGTATCTATACGTTGGTGTCAAGCAAGACCGTGAGTCTTAAATTGAAATTGTTGTGTTCTGAATAAATACTATGAATGCCTAAGTTGTTGATTCTCTGTGTTGAGCAAGGATTATGATTATTCGCGTGGAAATTAATTACGATTGAGTATTGGTGCTAGTTGAGGTCGTTAGATGTTGGAACAAGTTTGGTTATAGCTGATTTTTCCTTGCCGGGACGTACTTACTTATATTGTCGATTCCCTTGTCGGGATAGTGTTGTTTCTTTGTTGAGCCCTTGCCGGAACTTTCGTTGTGATTGATGTTGACCTGTATATGTGGATCGGGTTGCACACCGCAACAATATTATATTTGGATCGGGTTGCACGCCGCAACAATATTATATTTGGATTAGGTGGCCCGCCGCAACACTATTATATTTGGATCGGGTTGCACGCCGCAATAATATTATATTTGGATCGGGTTGCACGCCGCAACAGTGATAAATGATATGGATCGGGTTGCACGCCGCAACAGTGTTATTATATTTTTGGATCGGGTTGCGCGCCACAATAATAGATAATACAAAGTGCTTATAGATTGGTGACGAGTTCCTTATTGTTTTGCTATGAATTCCAAATTGTCCTTATGTCTTTCTCTTAAATTACTGTTGGTATTGATATTTCCCCCAGCATGTACCCCCTCCCATCTTTACCTTTTTATTCCTGTTTTATTTTCCGCTGCATATTATATAACTGCACAAGTTTATTTGGTAGTCTGGTCCAAGCCTCATCACTACTTCGTCGGGGTTAGGCCAGGCACTTACCAGCATATGGGGTCGGTTGTGCTGATACTACACTCTGCACTATGTGCAGATCCCTGAGCGGTAGCTTTTGGACCGTAGCATTAGGTGGCTGCCTTCAGCCCAGTTAGAGATCCCGAGGTAGTCCTGCAGGCGTTCGCAGGCCCGGCGTTCTCTTCTATCCTTATATGTATTCTGTTTCTATTTAATTCAGAGACAGATTGTACCTTTCTTTCCAGACATTTGTATGTAGTATTCATAGATGCTCCGTGATATTGTAACACCGGATTCCGAGTAGAGATGTAGGTTGGTATTGTCGTACTGGTTTTGGCTAAGTTACCAGATTAAGTCTTCCACATGTATTTATTTATCGTTAATATTTCATTGTTAATCACATGTTAATTTAAATTGTTAAAAAGGTTAAATAAAAGAGTTAGTGATTCTATATTACGCGGCTTGCCTAGCTTTCATGAGTAGGCGCCATCACGACTCCCGAGGGTGGAAATCCGGGTTATGACAAGTTGGTATCTAAGCTCTAGGTTACATAGGTCTCACAATTCATGGACAAGCTTGGTAGAATCTGAGGGATCGGTATGGAGACGTCTGTATTTATCCCCAAGAGGCTACAAAGTTAGAAAAAACTTCACATTTATTCTTTCCTGTCGTGCGGCTTGGTTTCTCAATGCTAATTGAATTTCTACTTTGTTCTTTCGCAGATGGCGAGAACACATGCTTCCTCATCCACTGATCGGCAGCCCGAGCCCCCAGCAGCAGCTCCCACGAAGGGTAGAGGGCTAGGCCGAGGCCGTGCTAGAGGCCGAGGTAGGGGCAGAGCTCAGCCCAGAGCAGCAGCACCAACGGCGGAGCCTCAGGTTGACTTTAATGATGAGGTTCTAGCCCAGATAGTTCCGGTGGGCCCAGCTTAGGTCCCAGAGGGAGTTATTGCTACCCCAGTACTCCAGGATGCTTTGGTCCGTCTAATGGGCCTTATGAAGAGTGTCACCTATGCAGGCTTATTTCCAGTAGCACCAGCCATCTCTCAGGCTAGAGGAAGAGCCCAGACTCCTGCTACTCGCACTCTGGAGCAGACGGCTCCCCAGTTTCAGACTCCAGCAGCTCAGCCAGTTAGAGCAGTTCAGCCGGGTATGGTAGCTCATACCGGTGAGGGAGCAACTATGTCTGCCGATGCTTTGTGGAGATTGGACAGGTTCACCAAGCTCTTCCCTACTACTTTTAGCAGTGCAACTTCTGAGGATCCCCAGGATTTTCTAGACAGCTGTCATGAGGTTCTCAGTAACATGGGGATAGTGGAGACCAATGGGGTCGATTTTGCTACTTTTTGCTTATCTGGATCCGCCAAGACTTGGTGGAGAGATTATTGTTTGGCTAGACCAGCCGGATTGCCAGCTTTGACTTGGGAGCAGTTTACTCAGCTATTTCTGGAAAGGTTTCTTCTATTACTCAGAGAGAGATCTATCGGAGGCAGTTTGAGCGTCTCCAGCAGGGTTCTGTGATTGTTACTCAATATGAGACCAGATTCATCAACTTGGCCTATCATGCTCTTATCATACTTCCCACCGGGAGAGAGAGGGTGAGGAGGTTCATTGAGGGGCTTATCCAGCCTATTCGACTTCAAATGGCCAAGGTGATTGGGAGTGAGATTTCTTTCCAAGAGGCGGCCAATGTGGCTAGGAGAGTTGAAATGGTTCTATCGCAGGGAGGTGATCAGGGGTCTAACAAGAGGCCTCGTCATTCAGGCCGATTCAGTGGTACCTCGTCTAGAGGAAGAGATTCGTATGGTAGAGGCCATCCTCCTAGGCCTTTTCAGTCAGCCCTTCAGGTTTCTCACGGTGCTTCAGGTGGTTGTGGCTCTCATATGCAGTATTCCAATCAGTAGCCCTATAGTGCACCACCAGCTCCTATTAGTGCACCGCCGCTCCAAAGTTTTCGGGGTGGTCATTCAAGTCGCCAGGGTTAGTCTCAGTTTCCTCAGCCGCAGCACTCAGGTAGATGCTTTGAGTGTGGTGAGTATGGTCATATCCGGAGGGCTTGTCCGAGATTGGTGGGTACTCAGTCACAGCAGCAGGGTTCCCGTGCTATGGTTCAGGCAACAAGTGTTCCACCGCCCGCTCTGCCAACTAGGGGTAGGGGTAGAGGTGCTAGAGGTAGGTAGAGGTGTTAGAGGTGGAGCTCAAACCGCTAGAGGTGGAGGCCAGCCAACTGCAGACCGTCC